TTTTTTTTGGCAGAACTGGGGATTGAACTCAGGCCCTTGTGTTTGCCAGGGAAGTGCTTATTCCACTGAGCCATCTCCCTGGCCCCCATCAGCATCATTGATTGTTAAATATTAACATAAGTAATCATGTCACTTGGGGCTTCAAATATGAAGTTCAGAAAATGGCAACAAGGGCCCATGGGCCTGTGTGGAGCAGGAAAATGATCCAAAGTATGACTGTCCAAGGTCCTTGTGTCAAGCTGGACGACCAGTGAAGGCTAGAGCTTGGTGAGTTGCAATGTGTGTTCTAATCTTTGGGATCACATTAGAGTAAAAGGAAAAGAGTGAAAAACTCAGGAAGTATTGGACTTTGTTAAGTCTCAAATGCATGCTGCTGTCTTACTATTATCAAAAGGTGTTAAGAATAAGTGCTTGCCTGGCAAGTGCAGGGTCCTGAGTTTAAACCCTGGTACCAAAAAAACCCCAACCAACCAACCAAACAAAAAAAAACAAATGTGTTGAGTTAAAATTTTCTGAGCCAAATTAGGGGTAAAAGAGATGACAAGCTGTCAACCATAGGAGAACCTGTACTGTAACACCATGTAACTCAGTTGCGCTCCAAATTTTCTGATCAAGGAGATCAAGGAGCCACAGAGGAATGTGATCCATGATGTATAGTGTGCCTGAGAAGTGTCACATGGAGAGAAAAAACATTCTCTCGGGCTTTTACAGAGAGCAAATTGGTCAAGCAATGACTGCGACTCATCCTCATGGCTGACACTGACAATGGATCTACAAAGTGCGGTACAGGGTTACAGGATAAATCCTGAGGGTACTTGGCTGACCTTATCAGATACAAAAGTTACATTTCTTGTTATATTTATCTTGCTTTATCTTGGTCTTAACCATCCAGCAGAAAAGTATAAAAACAAGGTACATAAAGTAAAGCCATATTAATACGATAAGCTGTAAAAGGCTCAAGTCAATAACTTCTGAGGATAACCCACTAATATTATAGACTGCTGGACAGTGTTGGATTGTTTAGCTGAACTGAAACACCTATAGTATTTA